AATACTTTCCGAGATATTGGCATTTAAAAATCGGTCCAAAAACTTTTGGGCCACCCTGTATATATATATAAATTTTTTTTTTTTTTGGGGGGGGGGGGATACGTTTTCCTTGGGAAGGAGGGTAATAGACCGGATCTGAATAATTGAAGCAAAAGCCACCTGAGAGCCTGGGACGACATAGATGACAGCGTCGATGCGCTGCTTGTGATGGAGATGGACGAAAGTACGAATGTCTCCAATCAACTTCAGGTCCGGTCCGGGCGTTCCTCTTTGGAAGCCCGGCGTGTCGATGACGGTGATGGGACGAGGGAACCTCCTGGTGTATCTGGTGAAAAATGTGTACGAGGTGATCGTGTCCGTGGGTCCATCCTTCCTCCTCACTTGGAATCGATCGACATCATGGAATTCCACCCCGAGTATGTAATTCCCCAGTACCTCCACCAACATCGACTTCCCTGTAACCAAGAGAGAGAGAAAGTGATTGTGAATCATCCGACCCTTTTAATTCGAGAGAATATTGATTTGAGGGTTGACCTGATCCGCTGAAGCCGAGTAGAAGAACAGTGAGACACTGATTCCCATCATCGTCACCCAATTGGTATCGACTCTCTGACCCTGGGATGAGCCGAAATGGAAGAAGGTAGGTCGGGATCTCTCTCCCTGGGATCTTGCTGCGTCTGTCGATAAAGTCCTTAGGGCGGTTGATTTCTCCGCTCATCCTCTTTCATTTAATCCCTGTGAAGAGTACATTATCCCGAGAGTGTCACTTTATTAAAGGATTGTATAATATTTCCAATGTATCCACCTTTGTCCAGCTCTTCCCGCACACATTCACGGACGAACGGAATCGTTGACGAAATTAGGTTTCAGTGCTCTGAGACCATTAGAAGCTGTGTTCAATTTGTTTTCGTGATGATGAAATTCCACTGCAATGTGATTCACTTTTGCCTTGTAAAGCAATGGTAAAGTGGTAAAACGTTAAAGTGGCAATCTGGTATTGTGGACGTCCTAGGAATGGTCTTGCATTCTTATTGTCAGAAATCCAATTTGACTCCTATTCATGTGAACATAATCCATTATAACAATTTAAAATGCTAAATGCATTCTTTACCTGCAAGTTACACTTAGACCTGCAAGCATAAATGGTTTCATTTTCTATCGTTCGTCTGGGAAATGATCGGCTAGGTTAGTTCTCGAGTTGGAAGTTCACGAAAGATGCTATATTCATGTTTGATTGCGGCATCTTATTTACTTTGATACATGCTTTGGGTTCGAAGCAAGAAATTACTGAGCTGGAAATATCATGTCCTGTCCGATGGTTTTTTTTTCCATTTTCAAGGTAAGGTCAAGACGAGGATTGCCTCATGAGGTATCTGCGAATGTCATGAACACGTCGTTAGATCTCATGATAAATTCATGAAACCTCATGAGAAATCATGCATTGGTAGTGAGGTTTTCCAGCAAGACCGGTTAGTCCCCATCCCGGGTGAGCGCATGAGTCTCATGAACCACTCACAGAGAGGGGGAAATACATGAAGGAAATGCGTAGATAGCGTCACCATTCTCAAATCCTCATCCCCCAGATAGCAGCAGAATGCATTTCGAAAAAGTGTACCCCAGTATCGCATAATTGTGGTATAGAATGGTTGGCATTTAATGAAAGAAGGCTCTCATCTTCTTCGTACGAAGGAAAGAGCCTCAGAACCAGTTTCTTGTGCTCGAGCGACCATTGAAATAGGTTTAAGGTCACTTCCAAAGCCACCCGAAATTACAATCCAAAAGAACTTGGCAGAGTTCTTATGAAGAACTAGGACAGCATCTGAGACGGGTCGCAATCTCGTGCTACCCAGAACTATTTTCCGCTATCGTCGCTCGAAGGTGACTCGTCGGAGCGATCTTATAGCGTAAGAAGATAAGGTCTATTATCTGCCTTGGCAAAGCCCTGAAATCCTGGTAGCTCCAGGAATCTGTTTCAGCACGGGTTTTTCCTTGGTTTCATGAAATCAAATAAGGATACGATCTGTCACATTCGGTGAAGGTTTCATCGAAGATCCAGGAAATGGTTCCAATTTGAACCATTAAATGTACATGGTGTATGATAAATAACTCCCAATTTTTAAATGCTTGTAACTCTTTTATTTTAAAATGAAATTTAATGAAATAAACTGTGAATTATGCACCAATTAGTGAGGTTTTTATTCGTCCACACTTCACACTTCCGCGTAAGCTCCTGCATTGCCAAGCACATTTCCTTGACATATTCGAGACCGCGCCCGTGCTATAGCCGGGCTTATATATATATATTTAACAAGTAAAATAAAAATAATTTCAATAGACAAAAATTATCCAATATTATCATACTTTCTACTGCTTTTTTTAATACTGAACAATTGTTGGTTTTCGGGGCCCTCGCAGTGCAAAATCAGCTGGTTTCAAATGTGTTAAGCGAACAGGTATGATTCTCACTACTGATCGTAACATGTGTCGAGGTACGTTAAGAACATTGTTAATACTTTTTTCCAGTTCATTAGGATTTTCAGGTTTGCTACTATGAACTAATTTTTTAGCCCAGCCCCACAGAAAGAAGTCTCAAGGTGTTAAATCAGGCCTGCGAACTGACTCCACTTTGAATGGCTGTCAACTTTTATTGCGACAACCTTGAAACATGAAACTTTCAGAAAACAAGCTTTACTGATTATTGAACTGGAAGAAAGAATAAAAAAATGTTTTTAACAAAGTACCTCGACACGAATCACGATCAGAAGTGGGAAACATACCTGCTCGCTTAAGGAAATGTGTTGACAATTCTAGAGCATACGTGTGAAGTGTGGACGAATAAAAACCTCACTAACTGGTGTGTAATGTGTGATCCACAGTCTGTTTCATTAAATTTCGCTAAAAAAAAGAGTTACAAGCATTTCAAAATAGGGAGTTATTTATCATATACCCTGTGGAGTAGTTAACCTTGAAAGAATAATACAGAAAAATGGGTAAAATGGGGGAAAATATCGGGATAGTCACCAGCTTCTCTCCACTTTTTAATTTCTTTAAAAATAAACATATTGGAGATTTCGTGGTAAAAAAAAATATACTAGAATTGATCAATTTGAGGACGAAATCATGCTCACCTTTCAAAAGACCCGACTACCTCGACCTATCAGTACCTATCCGATTTCATACGGAGCCACCTATATATTTTTTCTCGCGTATGGACGGAACATAATATGACATATTTAGGAATGTAATGTCTTTCGTTCCGGTTTGCCCAGACTTTGTCTGCATTTTTTAAGTTTTCAAGAACGATACTGCATTTAAGACGAGATCAGGAAGGAAGAGAGAGAATTACTCCATATCAGGTAGACGAGTGTTCCAAGAGAAAAAGAGCATTTTGGGACTGGGAAGAAGTAGTGACACGGCGACACGGCTGGCCGCATCTCAAAAGGTCCCCGGATGCATGGAAGCAAGACCTCGAAGGCCACACATGATTCTTTGGATGAGGGATTACCATAGAGAGTGTATGAATAGAGGGGCCTTCCCTATGGCGCGAGGCGCTGCACCCTTCCAGGAGCGGCCGCCATCTTACTGATGTCGCACGAGGAAGGAGTTCATAGCAGGCACATGGAGAAGAGGGAGGGCAAAAAAATGCCCCGAGTATATGTGTAGGGGTCTCTATGCCGGGACCCAACCAATCACCCTATTCATTCTCAAGTGTGAGACCCTCCCAAGATGACGGAAGCATTTGTAGGTCTCGAGGCAGGGAGGGCCTCTCCAGGCATCTAAATACACTCTATGGGGATCACCCTATACGGGTTTCGATTCGTCTAGTGAACTTCCGATCCTCGGCTCTTTTCGTGCATTCTTGGAATCTTTTTTCTTCTTTTCTCGATCGAATAGATTTTCTATCGATGATATCATTGCTTCCGCATTTTTTCATAATTCTGAGGCAATTCCGCTCGATACGTTGAGATAAGCTGAGGTACCATTAGCTGCTTGGAGAAACCGACTTGCGGTCTATGAGAGTTCTGTGATGGAACTGAAAGACATTCCCCGTTCTGGGAAGGCAGACTTTGTCTATAAATAAGCATGCCCCTCTTGATTTTTGCACCAATTTACCTTAGCCTAAGTTAGAAAAGCAGACAAGGTCAGGCCGAAAGCCGAAAGCCATTAATTGCGGTTCTCGTCCTAGGGGAATTCACGTCACTGGGACACACCTGCCTCGACTTCGTCATTCTTGCCCTTGGGTTTCCTCCAATTTCATGAGATTATTTGAAGCATATCCACAATTCGTTAGCGATGTCTCCGAAGCCTTTCCTTTCATTATGAAAGTGAATATATGGGTCTTTGGCCCATTGTAAATGGTTTAGAATATATGCTCCCTTGGTTAGACGACTCGTTCTACGTTGCCGCATCCCCAAAATGCTGAGAACCTGAGAGCGTCACGACGAAACGATGCTATCATGCAAGTAAAAAAGAAAGGATGTACATAATAGCGAGGTAATATCGCCTAAAAAACTGACCGATGTCACATTCTTTACAGAGACGAAATACCTAGATGAGAGAAAGGAGATTTTATTAGTGAGACAAGGAGAGTGAATACCAATGACGTCACTAACCTGGCTTCGACTCATGGAGGCATCGCCAACCGTCATTGGCGGCCACGACGGCGATGCCAAAAGCCTTAAACAAGTCGGTAATGATTTGGTCGAGAAAAGACGAAGGTTGGATTCCTTTTTTTCATACAAGCAAGAATGAATGACGCCTATAAATAAAGGTCGCTGCGATTTCATGAGTCACCCCGAACAGAACACTTGTAATCATCTCTTTTGTGCGCAGCGATAACCTAGAAGCACGTCGCTGCCTCGTGACCTTGGCAATATTAAAAAAATCTGGTCCTGGACTCTATATGCAAAATGTATGGTACTGCCAAAATGTAAAAAGAGGTATGGAATGCACACATCTTTAAAATATGCTTCATTAACATGCTGCAAGTACGTGAAACTGCGAAAACTTTTCCTCCCATCCGTAAACTTCTTCCCTTTAGATATTTCGCGATGAATGAAATTCACAACCGTAACTAAACGAGGTGTAGGGATTATGTTGCCGTTCGTGGCATCGAGGCGACGATAAACAGACGACTTAAGTGAAAAGATAGGATCCTCACGGCTGGGAAAAAGGTGGCAGAGGACGACACTCGAGCACTATAACGACGGACTTGCCTCATGCTCTGGAGGAGACTTATCGCATGCCCTTATCTTCGTCTCGATTTCGTCCTCTTCGCGATAATGGCTCGTGGAAACATGTTCCTTTGTGTTCTACCCTCGGATTACCGTGGCTTGGGAAACGCTGGAGAAAGCGTTGCACATGAAAATGGAGTGCTCCGGAGAGAGGTCTGATGAAAAGTCAGCGAGATGGGTCTCTCGTGACATGTCGAGAAGTGAGAATGCCGATTTCCGAATACGGCGGAAAAAGTAGCAGTTATATAATTTTATATATAACTATTCCCATTTTAATTTTCATTTGGTTTAAATTTCGAACCTAAACTTATAGCATTCCCCTTTTTTCGAACACTGAACTCATGAACGTGAATTTAATGAAACGAAATGAATTAAATTAAATGTATTAAGTGAAAAATAAATAAATGAAACAGATAAATCAATAAAACGAAAAAATTACAAACTGGAAGATGCCGAAAACAGAACAGTGACTCAGGGTAGGGAGTACTGTCGACAATAAAGATCTATATCTCATAATAAGTTGGAATTTGCTCTCCCTTCGGATCCTCCGGAGGAGGCCGTGGGGCCAAACTGAAGGAAGAACCTATGGCGTTATATCGTCCTCAAGAAAAATTGCAAAGAATGTTCGGTTTTCAATGTATTCAAAGTGGCAATGAATTTCCTTTCTCTCTGCGTGCTCTCCAATATCTGTTGCGTTTGAAATTCGGGCAGTATTTGCACCGAATTTGGTACCCTCAAGAACCCTCTAATATCTATAGTGTTGAAACCCTACCGATTGCCAAGCTCGATTATTGTTTTTTTGATAGGAGAGTGTTGTCCGTGAGTGGGTTGAGTCAGGGAAAGAAGAGATATCCTTCCGCGTTTTTAACATTCAGCGTTTCACGGTTTAGCATTTTAGCTCTTTGGCATTACAGTAAATTTCTGCATATGCGATAAGGGACAATGTGATTCGGCAGATCCATCACCATGTAGAAGGCAATAAAGTGACGTCAAAGCATCGATCATGCAGCGAATGAAATGAAACGAAATGCAAGAAGACCTTATGTTCCGCTCGGAAGACAATTTGGCACGCGTCCTTTCTCCAGTCGTCCCCTTCATTTCAATTTTTTTTGTTCATGTTAGTAGTTTTGTAAAGGATACATTTTGTCCGAGGGAACGATTTTAATTTTTTCCTCTTCTTCCAGATGAATATTAAAAGTATTTCCTACCTCGTACTCGCTATAATAATTCTCCGCCCTTCGAAATGAAATGTCCCACTTCCATCGACTTCGCCAGCATCACAAAACTTCGAGACCGACCTCGGAAATAAACTTGCATCACCACTTCCATGCCTTTACTCGTGAAATGTTGTCAGTTGCATGGTGCCTTGCAAATCCATCTGGGCTTTCGTCGTTTTCGTGAAATGAATGCAGCGACAACCTTATTGTCAGGTCCAAGTTGTCTTCAGTGAATTTTCTGAGCATCAAAACCTTGAAACAGCATGTTTCCCTGTCATTTAAGTCTCATATTTATGCCCTTTAAGGCGTCCCGAGAGCAAACTTGACTGCACATTTGAATGTGGAGTTTGCTTCTGTAGCCCATGCATGTGGGTAGCCTCTTCGAGCTGCACTTCTCCATGTAGGCTTCATCGTGGTTCGAAATACAGGAAAGCCTCGGAAGGTGGCAGAAGGTGGTCATAAAACCAACAAAAGGAAGAGAATATGCGGACCTTTTTGGTCCGCATATTCTCTTCACGCGGATTTAGTACAGTATTACAAAATAACAATGGCCAAACCGGATAATTCGAACCCGCTTATTTCGAAGTCGGATTTTTTTTTGGTCCCCTGGATTTCGAATTAACGAAGTTTTCCTGTAAGCCGTACGAACGGATCGAATATTTTTAATGCTATTGATAATAAATATATCTAAATATTGGACGGTATATACAGTGAAAACTCGATAACTCGAATCCTGATGAGTCGAAATTCCGCTTATCTCGAACTTGAATGCTTGGTTCCGGCGGAACCCCGTAGGACACCATGTTAAATGCTCCGTTTAACTAGAATTCGCTTATATGGAATTTACGGATATCTTGAATGACATTTTCACTCCCGATAACGATTTTCTGACTGTTAACTCGAATTCAGAGTATAAAGGTGGGAAAAACTCTTCTGGGACTTTTCGATTTTTGAATAGGATGAATGACAAGAAACCCGTTCCGGAGGATGTTCTTTTGTTTGTTTATTTTTTCTGCTTCCCCCTCCTCCCACGCAGATGCCTGTGGAGAGGATTAAACCTGAGGATTAAAACCGAAAAGCTTTGGCTATAATAAAGCAACATCCAACATTCGCTCTGTCTATTTATCGCTCTCACTCCGAGCCATTCTAGGCATATTCTACTTCCTTTACGCCATTTGTGCACAGCAAAGTAGAAACGTACAAGGAGAGGTACAAATGTGAGAGGTACATATTGTGTCCCTCGGGTCTGCACGTGTGGTCCAGACGTACACATGTGTGCGAAATGGAGACGCTGTCAGCGTGTTATCAGTGACAGGTCTCTGCCTGTCGTAGACGTGGTGCAGGATGACGGGCCATTAAAGCTCCCTTCGAAGCCCGACAATTGAGGTTCATGAACCGGTTTTTGAACCCCCTTAAGCCCGATGTGAATAGAGATAAGAAAGGTACACATTGTGTACCTTCTGTACCTTTTCAACGAACGTATTTTACGACAACGTTTGTACCTCATAACGTAGAAAATGTGTACCTGACTGTACGTTTCTGCTTTGCTGTGTGTGGAATGAGTTCACTCAAGAGGAAATTGAAGACTCTGACGCTCGAAGAGAAGGTGCACTTGATTCGGACTGTCGAAGAAGGCCAGCTGAAGAAGAATGACATCGCAGAGAATTTCGGGATTCCTCCCTCTACACTCTCTACCATTATACGCAGCAAAGATAAGGTTTTGAGTGCACATGAGAAGCGCCTATTTACAGCAAGTTGCAAGAAGATGAAGACAGCCAAGCATGAGGACGTGGAAGCGGCTCTCCTGAGATGGTTTCGTGAAGTTCGTGACAGCACCACTCCCGTGTCCGGAACACTGATGAGAGAAAAAGCTGATCAACTTGGAAAGGAACTTGGAGTTGATTTTAGTGCAAGTGTTGGTTGGCTGGAACGATTCAAGCACCGTCATGGCATCGTGTTCCGACGAATCTGTGGGGAAAGTGCAGATGTTCCACAGAAGGAATGCGAAAGTTGGATCGAGGAAGAACTCTTGCATGTTCTAGGTTGCTACAGGCCTGAAGATGTGTTTAATGTTGATGAAACGGGCTTATTTTTCAAGCTGATGCCAGACAAAACCATGACT